TTCCTGCAAGAAGTAAAATGCATAGAAAAATGTCAAGTAACCATGGATTTTTTAAAACTTGTTCAACCCTGCTTTTACCCCATGGCCTACTACTAGTGTTTGGAGCTTTCTGTTGTGGTGCGTTTGGTATGGTAATGCTACCATCATAATGAAAAGATCACCTGGAGTGAGGCTAGGGAGCGACCCTGTTACTAACAACTGTGTAATCAGATCTGAACATCAGGTGGTGGTTCTAAATAAATGTGGGGGTGTTCGGGTCCAAAAATTGCCTTGTGTGTGTCCAAGGATGTTCATTCTCATATCAATCTATATTTAGGGACAGTCAAATGGTTTTTATTTCATCTTTCTGTGCAGTAGAATTAGGATTTTATATTTTTGGGAATAGGGTTTTTTGTTCACCAAAAAAAAGCCACCAACAATGACATATATTCCACTACCAGTATTTCTCTTCAATTCTGTAACATTCTATAACCCTAAAGTCATGTCTTTGAAAGTCATAAACATTACTGCAGATATTTTGAGGAAAAAATTATTGTCAACTATTCCTAGAAAGAGAGTATAGCTGTTTAAGGGCTGTATTGAAGGTACCACAGCAATGGAAAATCCAGCGGCTTATTGTAATGCTCTTTATCCAATTTTCTTGATCCATACATTTGTTCACTACATGACATGGTTTAGTCGTAAGTTCTTTTGAATTTTCTGGCCATATTTCAATTGATCCAAATCTGCATTGAAAACTCATTTAAAAATCATTTACAGCAAAAGAACATAATTTTTTGTTTTTAAAATAGCAAAAGCATATCAGTAGAAAATAATTTTATGCAATTCAAAGTTTCAGAATTTGCATTTTGGATGGTAGCGGTGAGAATACCGTACGCGGCTCATAGCCCCTTTGGGGGGAAATCGCGGGAGTTACTCTAAGACCTAATGAGATGCACATAATACTCTACAGGGAACACGTGACGGCAGACATCGCACCAATGTAGGTCAGGCTGAATCCCCGCAGGTGATGCAGATGAACCCGTAATGTGTCGAGCTTCTTTAGAAATCTGTGGCGCCGGCCGTAATAACACCCCCCCCCCTCCAGTGTTATTAGCACAGCCACCTACGCTACTGATATATGCAACTCCTGACGGGCGTTATGTATATTAAAAGGATCACTGCTCTTTTTTTATGATGACTAAAAAGCGCGGGGGGGACTTTTATGAATTGAATTCTGTTTTATAAAGATCTTGTGGCTTGTCAGTCAGTCATGATATAACATAACAAATATGAAAGCTAAAATGTGGGAGACCTGTAGAGTTTCTTCATGTTTTTCTTTTTCTATTTTATGAGTTGTGTTCTAATTTCTGATTTACCTTTTTAATACACAAAAATCTTGTGGTTTGTCAGTTATGACAAAAATGACAATTATGAAAGCTAAAAAGGGGAACCCTAGACTTTCTTCATCTTATTTTTTTTCAGTTTTGTGAATTGTGTTGTGATTTCATATTTAACTTCAGATATAGCCCAAAAATCTTGAATGTGGTTTGTCTGTCAGTTATGACTAAGATGACAAAGTGTCAAATACAGCCATATCCACCACAAACAAAGGGCAGAGCTATTTATTATACTATATAGCAGTCTGAATTATGGTGAATTATTCCATAACCCCCTGCCATTCACTCGGTGCTCCCTAACAAATTTGGGGCGGCTTCGGCGCAACTTGAACCGACATAAAAGTCTGCCATTTTAAGATACTATTTCAAAGTACATAAAAAGTTTATGGTTGTGTGTTGAGGTTTTATGCCTTGAAAGTGTACACACGGTTTGGTACGGTCAGTCGTGTGGGGAAGCAGGGCTCTCCCCAAGCAAGGATGCTCCCCCTCTCCCCAAAATCATAGCACCTCTCCCAAAATGTTCAAATTTAGGGTTTTCTTTCAGTATTTTTATGAAAATTCACTGATTTATTTTTGTGCGACGTCAACCGATTAGGGAGCACCTCTCTAAAAATTTCTGGGGAAACCTCTGGGAAGTGAATCCAGGACGCGCCCTGTTCCTCTGATATATTTGCCTGGATGCCCTTGGTTAGACACGGTACACGGGGAACATATGGTGCAGTAACATTGGAAAGGTTAGGCCATGGCTGCACTGGAACCTCGCAAATTGGAATCGGTTATTGGTGTCAACCTGTTGGGGTTCAAAACATTAATACTCCTTTTTTTTTCCCACCACTCGTGATCATTTCTCTTGTCTATTGACTGGTCCATTATATTGACATTTAATATCTGGATACGTAATGATCTGTTATTACTTAAAAATGTTGTTAATAAGGGCATTTATCATAATTAGTCTGTGCAGAACCATACAATTATTCTGAGTATGTCAAAAACTCATTTATTGTAGAAAAAAGACCAGGGGTAACTGTACTATTAACTGTTGTAATCATCTATTAGTATTACATTTTTAAATGTTCTTTGCTGAAGATTTTTTTTTTTTGGAAACATGTATTTGAATCTTGTCCTAGTGTCATAATGATTATTCTCTCTGGTAGATAGAGCTCTCATTCTGTTCAACTCAACATAGAAAAAGGCAGACTTAAGAAGAAATCGAACCTAAATAGTAAATAGTAGCCCACATAAGTATGTACAGTTTTAAGTCAGATTTTACTGTAATTATTTTCCTGTCTATTCATGACCTGTATTTAGCTTGTAAGAGCACAAAGGTACAATGAAGGTCTGTCATTCATTTACTCTAATTTTACGTTACAAGCTGTGAAAGTTGGATCCTGATGTAGAGAATTTGTAGGTTGTTGCGCCCGGCAGTTGCCGTGTCCTGGCAGCTGTTTAACACAGGACAAATGCGGAGGGACAGGGTGTATTGTGTTGCGTCCCTGCCTCTGTTGTTCATTGTGTGTTTTAGTCCTATTGTGTTGTCCGCCCACACTACTAATCACAACAAGGGAAACAGCTGCTTCCCCATTGGGACAAAATCCACCTGTTACTCCCTTATGGCAGGGGCGCGCCATCCACGGAGAGGGGGGAGCGTAGCGCGTCTCGTTAACAATATTCCCTCACAAACCGCCGGATTCAAAAATTTACATTCTGCATACAAATATTCATAAACATGAGTAATCTTACCCAGAACAGAAAATCATATCTCCCTTCCAGTACCTAATAGTGACAAAGTTCCTGTTATGTTTTTATTTGTGTCCCCTATATGTAATCTTGGTACACCCCGTGCCTGTGTAAAGGACAGCTATTCAGGCCCCTAGGAACAGCCAGTCTCTTTGTTACACTGACATAATTAGCTCAAGGGAAGGTCCGTTTGTGACTAGGGCTGCAGCCTTCAAAGCAGCCATCAATAGATTATATATTTGTGTGTGTATAGTTCTTACTTTTGTCCATGGAGCATGTAATTTCTATTCTTGAAATATGAAGTTACAGAAAATTTGTTTTCCATGGAGCATCATTTTGACGGTAGCTGTAGGAGTGCAGAAACACTCTCTCCTGATAGACCATTCACTTTCTCTGTTATTAAGCTGTTACAATAGGGCCATAGAAAATTGATATTTGATAAATGGACTGAACCAACTGGACCTGGTAGGAGGTAGTCAGTTTGAATTACATGTGATGTTTAAAGTCGCGTGATAAACTTCATGTAGAAATCAAGCAGCTAGGATGCTTACATGGATTATGAATGAAGAAAAAATGTCGTCCGTACAATGAAATGGAATCATTTTTTAACGTGTTATGAACCCCTGCCTGTTTGAAAAATGGAACGGTCCATGATTTGCATCAGGGCCTTTGTTAGCGCTATAAAGAGGCCTAAGATTGGAGACACCATTCAGTCAAAACCATTTTAGTGGAGTGACTTTGATGGGAGGAAGGCACACTAGAGACTCGCACTATCAACCAGAGGCATTGTTAATCCTAAAGGTTAGAGGAAAAAATTTGGCAGCATTTGTTTCAGTTTTTCTTCTGCTTTTGTATTTTTTTTCAAAGCATTTGAGTGTTTTTTTTTTAGATTCATCCCCATATTTATCGCATTTACTGATTTTTTTAGTGATGATCATTATAGAATATAGTTCTGTTGTCTAACTCTAAAAATCCTATAATCTTATTTCAAGTATTCTACATTTTAGATCACTGTGCAGTGTGCAATATTTCTTTTATGATCCATATACCTTATGTTTCCTCAGCTGCGATATATCTAGCCTGAAGGATGATTATTTTGATGATAAAATATGCTTTTTTTTTCTCTCGGTTTGGTGGACATGTTGTCCCAGAATGGTTTTCTCTTTGCCATCTTATCCAATAGTGTTAAATAGTGTCCAGGTACACACTGATGTCAATGATTTATAGGTTTTCCTTGATGCGGCATATGATTTCGGATAAAAAGAAATGCCATGAAATGGATACATTTGTGCAAGCTGTTCTGAGCGCGTTTGTTCTGCCGCTGCCTTTATTCGTTGCGAACAAAGTTTCATCCTTTGTTATCATTACAATGTAGTAAGAGAAAGCAAAAATCTTGCTGCGTGAAACGTAATTACTGACCTTTGATTCTAATTGTTTTCTTTTTCCTAAAAACTGTAATTCAGGGCATATCTACGTGGTAGGTACTACGTAGTGATCTTGGGTATACCTGGATACGTGTATGTTGGTGAATACAGATCTCTTAAGAAGCACTTCTAGTACCATGGATGTCATCTTTTCTTTCTTGAGTAGAAGATGAGAAGTCCTTTAACTTGTGATTTTCGTGCACACCACAGAAGACAATTGCTTGGAGTGTTGTAAAAACTGACAGCCTCTCGCAGTTGAGTGGCATCAGTGCGGATTCTCGTCATTCCCCACACAAAAGAACCCAGATAAATTGCTCCAAGTCCGATCCAGATGACATCCCAACAATGGGAGCCCGACAATTGTTTCCTGAGAAGGACGCGCTGTTTCCGTAGCTTACTGAATAGTGAAGTCTTCTTCACGCCCGGAATGACGTCAGTGTTGTGTTTTCTGTTGTTACAGGCCAAAAATGGGTGAGAAGCGGCCAGCGTCACCTGAGTTTGACAACACAGTAAAGCAGCAGAAACTCCAGGAAGACTCAGACGCAGAAGTGCAGGACGAGAGTCACGACGTCATCGAAAACACAGTGGAAGCAGCAGAAGAGACGACAAACAGGGAACAAGAATTGGAAGAATCCAATGGGCTAACGGGGGAAACAGATAACCTACATCAGGATTTGAGCACAAACGTTTATACTAGTGAAGAGGACTCTAAGACTAGAGCACAGACTGAGGTGTTTGATTTAAGTCGACCAAAGATCCGAGAGAGTCCGGCGGGTACGAGCCCGGGAGCGAAGGAACGAGGGAGCGACAGGAGAGAGGATGTGATAGAGAGGAGGAAGACGAGTTTACTGAGTGTTGTTGACAATCTGAAGCAGAGAAAGATGGAGGAGGTGCGGGTGAAGATGGAACAGATGGAGGAGGAGTTGTACATGAACGGCGCGGGAACCGACGCCGCCAGGAAGAGCGAGCTGGAGAGACGGCGGGACGAGACGCGGGACCGGATCGTGAGTGGGCTGGGCGTGGTGAGTGCGATGGCAGAGCGGTGGCGGGAGCAGGACGTGGCGGACACGGACAGGCTGACGCTGGAGGACCGGGAGCTGCGACTGGCGGACAGGGAACAGCAGCTGGCCGAGGTGTTGGAACAGCTCAGGGCACTAAAGGAACAGCTGCTGACACAGCAGGATGAGATGAACAGGTGAGCAGGAGGTTTACTGGTCTAAAAACACAAAATCGCTGTTTCTTAGCTGACAACATGTCTTGATCCCAGGACAGGTGTAGAAATCTGAAAACTGCCAATTCATCTGTTGAAATGAAGATTATGAACGCCAACATAATTCCATAATGTTAGAATGCCCTGTTTTGTTGAATGTTAATCATGACAAAACAAAAAGAAAAATACAAAGTAGCTTGTTTTGCAATTATTTTTCAAGAATATGTGTTTTCGAGAATAGAGATCTATTATTGCCTCATCCTTAAAAAGTCTCTTTTCCTTTTGTAAGCCAACAAGCCAAGCACAGTCAGACTTGCTCTCAATCTACATGTAACAATATACATGTAAATGTGGAACACAAAAGGCATGACACATTCTTTGAAAAAGAGTAACTATCAAGGGTTGTTTTTCCTATGCTGAGCTATGCTACCCAAGCAGTTGCATCAAAACAGATGTGAAAAACCGTTACACTAGAGTTTTGGGAAAAAAGGGTAATCTGGAGATTACCAGATACCTTCAACCCAATGTTGATGTCACACTTCTAAAAAGCCACATGACAAGTCTCACTGGATCAGTCTACTGAGGAAGACCAGAGAGACTGGTTGAAAGCTTTAGGTTGGTAGAAAGCTTTAGGTGAGAGAAATGTTTGTGTTGGACCAAAAGTTTTAACTTGCTGTGCTGTTCCAGGGTGCAGCAGGGTCAGCTGGCCAAACAGCAGCAGCAGCTGGAGATCCAGCGACAGCAGCAGGAGCAGATCCAGCTGCAGCAACAGCAGCTCCTGCAGCAGCAGCAGAAGATCCACCTACTGGAGCAGCAGGTGGGGAGGGGGGCGTTTTGTAGCAGTGGGGAGGGGACCGTGTTACTAGCCTTCGCTAGAGCTGTATAGCTAAAAAAAAGGTTGTTGTGTAAAGCAGTTCTGTAAAATTTCAATGGCAGCAGAAAATACCTACAGGAACTGGAGCAACATGGTAGTCTTTGCATCCAGAGTCCAAAGAGGAGTCCTGCTGGTTCTCTACCACAAGCCACATGATCTGCAAGGCTTAGCCGGCGTTTATTACTATGGTGATATTTGGAAGCATTCGGATTTCCATGTAACTGTTTGTTCCCCAGGGAATGTTATAGAGTGGTTTTGTTCTATGGTTTTTATTCTGTCCTTTCCGTGCAGATCCAGGAGCAGTGTAACAACGCTGCAGCCGGCCAGCCGTTCATGAGAATCATCCCAGTGTTCCCACACGACCAGGCTACGGCGGCTGCAGCCGCGGCAGCTGCAGCTGCGTACTACCCGAGCATCCCACGGACCCTGCCCTACGGCACGGCGGACCAGTATCCAGTGGCGCTGTCGCCCGCGGCGGCGGCACGACTCCAGATGGCGGGGATCCAGCCTAACCTGGCGCTGCACTCCCTCGGACTGGACCCTCGTCTTCCTGTTACAGCAGGGTCCCTCCCTCTCACATCCGTCCCACAGGTCTGTCTGTTTGTTTGTTTATGAGGAATATCTATTATGTTGTTTTCTAAGCAACTATAAGCCTCCAAGGACTGTGATTTCATACAAAATCTACACAACGTACTTGAATGTTTGTTTTTACGTTTAAAATGCCTATGTTCGAATTCTGAAGCAAGTCTCAGTTTTTTTCCCCCAATTAACTTAGCAAGATGGTGGCATTGAATGACCAAGTGGCTAGTTCAGTGGACACAAGATTGAAACATTGTGGATTTGATACCTTACATCCCTGACAGATGCTGTGTCCATAAAAAAGGGCACTTGACATGACTTTCCTTACTCCACCCAGGTGTAAAATGTGTACCTGACAAGTGTACATGTACATGTACAAATGTAAAACGTAGTGGAAGGAGAAGGATGGGCTCTGTCTTCCGATACCATTCCGTAGACAGAGTGAACTAAACAACCCCCTTACCCTACAACTTCAACAAGGCCATGGGACTACCTTTTATATATCTTATGTTTTTGACAGGTGCACAAGCCTGAGCCATCCGAGAGCACGTCACCCGGGCAGGCCACCACCCCGCAGAGGAGCACCACCCAGTCCTCCAACTCTACCACACCACAGCTCCACAGCATCCTGGTCAACAGCACCGCCAACCCGCAGCCTCTCAACCTGTCCCAGAAGGCCCAGTCCTCCTCTCCGGAGAAGAAGATGGCCACGTCCACGACGACGTCACCGACGGCGGGAGCGAAGGCGCCGAGCCAGGCCACGGTGTCGGCCCCACAGACGAGAGCCTTGCTGTTGAACAGTCTGTCTCCGACAGCGAGGGCACAGCTCATGGCCCACGACTCACAGGCAGCTCTTCAGGTAGGACTGTCAATCAATCATTCAATCAATCAATCAAATGGTTTATTTATGATAAAAGACACTACAGTCACGGTGAAATTTTGCCTTTTTAGTATAACATTGCACTTGCTTTCACAAGACTTGTGTAGATCTTCTCCTTACAGAGCAAGGGTAAGTAGGACTTGGGCAGCTACGATTCATGTTCTAACTGAATGTGCTAGATCTCTGCCTCCTTGATCTTACTGTGGGCCTCACAAAGTTACATGTATGTGATTTTAGGTGACTGTATGATCCTGATTATGTCTGAGATAGGGCCGGTAGTAACCCTATGGCCTGCTTCTTCCCTGTCTTCACTCAGGCCAAACAGCAGGCTGAGTTGGAAAGACTGCGGTCGGTGGGCGTGCTGACCACCACGGCTCACATGAACGGACTGTCCCAGCAGACCTCGCCGACCGCGGAGGGCAGCAAGGGCGTGGACAAGGAGAAGATCGCCCTGGAGGCGCTGACCCACCAGCTCTACATGCGGCAGATGACCTCCGGCAAGGTTGGCGGGGAGGGCGCGTCCTCGGAGCTGACTCAGAAAGTGAAGGAGCCTGGGAAGATGGTGATAGACCTGACCTCGGAGGAAGCGGCTGCGTCCAGCCACCATCGTGAACTGGACGCTGACGGCAGGCCAAGTATGTACATTTATATCATACCCGGGCCGCAATAATGTTTGATAACAGGTACCTTTACGGTACCGCCCGCCATCCATGGCTTCCATAGAACAATTTGAACACGTCGAATGCAGGATTTGGACAATGGAATTGATGTTGTCGCATTTTTTGGTTGAGGGACACCAAATTTTGGCTCATTTTGCATTGAAAGGCTCATTATTTGGGGTGGGTATGGCATAGATAAAATACAACATTGTAAATTGGTCATTTGTTATCTTACAGGCATCCAATAAAATTTCAGGGTGGCAAAACTAGAATTTTAACTCCAATTTTCTGGTCAAGTTTTTAATGTAGTCAGTTGAATCAACCCTGCCCCATAGCTTACTGATCTATGCAAGACTTAAATGTGATGTCCCTGACTGAAAACTGTTGCTTGTTTGATTGCGCAGGCTGGTTCTAGCTATTTATTGGTGGTACCCAAAAATGAACACCTCTCACGTAGCTTGTTTTTTTGGCTTTTTCAAATGCTTCCAGTATGAAATGATTACGGAAACGTGGTAAGAAATGACAATAAATTTCAGGTTCACACAGATTTCTTTATCCAGAATATATTTTGTTTGGATTGCCACCCTGAAATTGCATCTCAGCAGAATTTATATAGGCAATGTAAAATGGCTGGCTTAGAATTGTGGTCCATTATTGGGTTGTTAATATAAAAACGATACTTCATCTTGCAGATCCCCACATACAAGAAGCGAGGATCTACCGAGAGGTCAGGGGTCGCACGGTGAGCGAGCCGCACATCAAGCGACCAATGAACGCCTTCATGGTGTGGGCGAAGGACGAGAGACGCAAGATCCTCCAAAGCTTTCCCGACATGCACAACTCCAATATTAGCAAGATCCTCGGTGAGTTACAAAACCCACACATAGTAGAATAAGTGGGATCATTGGTCTTCCACTGTCTCAGAAAAAGATGTCAAACCCAATAAGTTAGATTTTAGTGTTTAGTAGCTAGAGCAGTCACATACTATATTGTTATCCATTGTCCATCCTTGATTTTCATGTTACATGTACTTGCAATTAGCCTACGGGTAAGAATTTGCAATAAACTTGTGTTAAAATACAAGCTGACAAACCTTGTTCTTCAGGTTCTCGATGGAAGTCCATGTCTAACCAGGAGAAGCAGCCATACTATGAGGAACAGGCACGTCTCAGCAAGGCCCACCTGGAGAAATATCCCGACTACAAATACAAACCCCGTCCCAAACGCACCTGCATTGTGGATGGGAAAAAGTTGAGGATAGGTAAACGAAAAGCATCATTCATTGGACAAGAGAGGGCCTGGCTCCTTGCAGGTAGTACAATCGTGCTTGTCGTATCAACGTGGGACTAACCCAATATCGGGGGCCACATTGTCCGGTTTTTGTCAGACCAACTACTAGTACTATCACAGCATGCACCTGACAAAAGAAAAGTGTACTTTGAGAAACTTCAATAGTTATTTCAGTCTGCAATTGCTAAAAATTAGTTTCAAATTTTTACATATTCCTCAGTTTCAACTGCTACTGCATTGCCACGTTTTGACTAAAACATTGGGGTGATGCTATACAAATGTTTTCGTTTTCCAATTTTTATGATCATGCCTTTCATGTATTGTCTCTGTTTGGTTCACCCATTATGTACAGATTTCCTTTTCTGTTCTGGTTGTTTTTTCCAGACAATAACATGCTGTGGAATTTTGAGTTTTGTTGTGTTCATTTTTTGTGTCGTAACCTTTCTGTACAGTCATCCTAAAACACATCCTTTGTACTTACCACAAAATCAGAAAACTTTGAAACCTACAATCTTGCCCATTGGGCAGAAAGATTAGCAAACAATAATTTTCACTCAATGCCCCAAAAATCTAACACAAT